CCGACCAAGGATAGAACCCGCTACTATTGGTGTACAGACGACAACCATAGGGCAAGGGCTGAAAGCACATTTAAATTGTTGCAGAGCCTAAAGATAATAGGGATCCTTCCCAGTTGTTTTTAAAAAGCTGGCAAACTGGGTAACCTGCTTTGGGCCCCCTTCCTGCTGCCCTCTTGCGGCAGGAAGTCTGCCTATCTCCCAATAAACTTTGTTTCAGCCAGAAAAAAGAAAAGAAAAAGAAAAAAAAAAAGAAAAAAGAAAAAAGCCTGGCAGACTGAAACCTGACAAAGGCAGTAAGCATGCACACAGACTGCAAACTGGTTTTCTTATAAAAAAAATAAATAAATTGCCCTGGCTGGCTGCTCAGTGGTTAGAGCGTTGCCCTGTGGACTGAAGGGTTGTGGGTTTGATTCTGGTCAATGGCATATACCTCTGTTGCAGGCTTGATCTCCAGTGCATGTGGGAGGCAATCAGTCGATGTATCTCATCAATGTGTCTCTCTCCCTCCCTTCCATTCTCTCTAAAAGAAAACCAATGGAAAAAATATCCTTGAGTGAGGATTAACAACAAAAAAGGACATAAATTTCTGTATGCTATGCTAGCAAGTAGATAAAGCAATACATTCAATTCGATCAATATGACACGACACACGCTACATGAATAGTTTGCAGTGGATAGTTGTCATTTTTGGCTGCCAGCATTAAATAGTCTCCTTTTCCTCCTTCTCCTTCTCCTCCTCCTCCTCCTCCACCTCCTCTTCCTCCTTCTCCTCCTCCTCCTCCTCTTCCTCCTTCTCCTCCTCCTCCTCCCCTCCTCCTTCTCCTCCTTCTTCTCCTCCTTTTCCTCCTTCTTCTTGGGATCTCTAGGCAGATGGGAGGTCCCCTACCCCCTGTAGGAAATGTGGTCTCTTCCCTTCTTCCCTTCTAGCAAGTGACTAGACCAAGTATGCAGCCCAACCACATACATGGGGCTTAGAATTGGAAAGGTGTAGCAGCAAGCATTCCATCAAAAATTATTCAACATGAGCCACAGTGCCTATAGCAGAGCCGAGTCCAGCAGGTGGCTGCCACTGTGCAACGGCGTGCCAGCCTTGGCGGCAGCAGCACATGCCAGCTTCTCGTGTGCTGTTTTCCAGAGGTGCTGTCTTCCTGGGTTTTCTAAGTCTGACCTGAAGTATTTCTGACAGTTCTGTGAGCTTTGAGAAGTGTTTCCAATGGACTCCTTTTCTGCCTCAGTTAGTTCAAAGGAGTTCATGTTCTTCGCTACCAAGAATCTATGATGGGCATACCGGTCAGAGGAAAGCCAAAAGCCGGGGTTCGTCTCTGTTGACGTCGGTTTGATAAAATTCCAGATCCATTTCTGTTAACAACCCTTTCTGAAGTAGGAATAAATGGATGCCACTTTAATGCAATAAATAATATATATCTCAAACCAAAAGCAGGCATCGTGCTTGCTAGCATTGGAAGCATTGCTATTAATGTCAGGAACAATCAAGCCTTCCCACTCTCATGACTACTACTTAACTGAATTCTGGAAGGGTACTCAGACGAGAAAGAGAGAGAGAGAGAGAGAGAGAGAGAGAGAGAGAGAGAGAGAGAGAATGAGGAATAAAAAGTATAAAGGAAGAGGCCAGGTTATTACCTCATGCATTGACATGAATGCCAGAAAAAAAAACAGGAGAACCAACAGGAAATTAGGAGAAAGAACTACAGTACATCAGGTGGCTGATTACAAAATAATTTCTCCTAGAGACAAACAACTGAAAATATAATGGCATAAAAGTATCCCATTTATAGTATCAACAAATAGGAATCAATGTATTAATGTTACAGATCTATGGAAAGAAACTATGCTGTTCTCAGGACATGAAAAGTACGTATAAATTTTTAAAAGACACACTTTATTTTCAGGGAAGATAAATTATGATGATGTCAATTTCACCTAAATTAATCTACATAAATAAATACCTGCAAAGGATTGAATTCTGAGATAACAACCCAACAGTGAATAAAATACTGGGAGATGTAGCCCTACCAAACATTGCAATATATTCTCAATCCATGTTATTGTGGATTATATTCACACAGCAGTGAGATAGAACAGAATTTTTAAAAACCCTAAATATATGTGGTTTACTGTGTGAATAAAAAGTGACATTATAAAGCAGGGGGGAAAGGTTAGATTGTCAGTCACAGAACTAACGTTACCGTAAGGGAATGAGCTTACAATCTGCCACCTGCTCTAAGGTACAGGCCTCCTCACAGCAGCAGAGGCTCGTCTGATTCATAGTGGACACCTAGTGAGGTAGCCTTCATACAGATATTGATTAGAGAGAGTGGAAGGGAGAGAGGGAGAGAGAGTCATCCACTTAGAGAGATAAATGGACTGCTTGTCTCCCACATGGGCCCTGAGGAAGGCCAGGGATCAAACCTGCAACCCAGGTATGTGCCCTTGATTGGGAATTGAACCCTTTGGTGCTTGGGCCTAATCCCTGAGCACACTGACCTGGGGTCAGCTCTAATTTCTTTGAAGCAGAAATTAGACTATGTATTTAATCCCTGGAGAAGAAACCTGGGTTCCCCAAGATATGTGATCAGTGCCGGGCCTCGCCAGCAGGTGAGGGAATCCCAAGGCAGGTACTGGGCATGGAGGCCATAGGGGCATAGGCTACCAAGGAGACAGAACTGAACCTCACATCACCCTGCTTGCCCCCGGAGGATGGCTGGTTAGCCAGAGACGGGTAAGATTCCTCAGGGAAGGAACAACCTAAGACAGGCACAGTCGCAGACAGGCCATCAGGAGAGAACTTGGGGGTCAACAGAGGTGGGACACAGACCCTTACTGCCCCTGCAACTTTGCAGGGCCTGAACCTTCACCTCTTCTGAGGAAGGTCTCCTGACCCCATGGCTGCTTCACTTTCCATGCACAGCTCAAATCGGGACCCAGGTAACAGACAGAGACTTGGCTGACAGCAGCTGCCCTCTCACTGCAACAAGACTTGTTTGAGAGGTCTGGTACCCATGGTGAGGGGAAGTGGGTTTTTGATATCCAAATCCAGCCTAGTACCAGGAATGCTCAGGGCCTACTCAAGAAGGCAAATAACCCTTTCCACTAATACGCACAGGGTAAAATAAGATGGTTGTTAGAGTGTTGAGTTTGACAGTAGAATAGTCAAGTTTTCGGAGTAATTTAAATTGGCTAATTGAAATAAGCGAATATTCTAGAAAAATTGACTGTAATGTACAAAAAGCTGTTCCTAAAGTATTAAGAAAAAATTTTATTGGCAGTTCATCTCATGGTAAAATTGCATAACACCTAAAGCAGTCATATTTTAGCCCAAAAAATTAAAATGTAAAAGCTATCAAAATTTCTGAAAGCCTCCTAATATTTAAATTTTTTAAAAAAGGGGTTGATACCGGTAGTAGAAGAATATCATGTAAGGGAAAATAGCCTGTAAGTAAATTACATCTAGAAAATTTGTACTTTAGAAAATTAACTTTTATTTGTAATGCTAACAGCAAGACACCCATGAAAAACACACATGGTGTCAAAACAAGCCAAAGGAAAATCATTTGGGTAAAAAATGAAAAGGGATCCCAAGTCAAATTTATAGAAAAGATTCCTTTATTAACTTTTGGTTGAAAATATGTTTGTATATTTTCAGAAAACACCTCCGAGACCATGTGGATTCCTGCAACAGAGAGGAATTGACAGGAGTGCCTCAGCCATGAAGACAGAAGAGACGCAGTCCAGAGATGGAAGATGCTGAATTCGCCTCGCCAGACCAGCAGACAGTAGCTGCGTGTCGCTGAAGGATGCCCAGGACCAAACCAGAGAGGGTCGGACCTGCATCACCACCGTTTGGCCACCAACCAGATCTGAAATACCATGGCTGACATGTACACGTAAGAACTGTTTGACATTGAAATTGGGACTCAAAAGAACTGTTGACCCAGAAGGGAACTCACTACAGACTGATTCATTTGCCTCTCAGCATAACTATTATGGCTTGTCTCATTTTCCGTTCTTATAAGGGAATTCCTTGTATCACATGATCTCACGCATCTAGGAGAAATAATGAACAACATAAACTGATGAACAGAAACAGACCAGAGTCAGGGAAGCATCCATCAGACTGTCCAACCTCAGAGGGAAGGCAGGGGAGGGTGGGGGTAAGGGGGAGAGATCAACCAAAGGACTAGTGTGCATGCATATGGGCCTGGCCAGTGGTTACGGACAACGAAGGGGAGGGGGCTTTCAGGATGAGGGGGGTGGGATGGAAACGGGGGGATGAGGACAATTATGTGATACCATAATCAATAAAAAAAAGAAAAAAAAAAGAACTATGTGTTTAGTGAGGGAATGATGGCTGACTCCAGCGGGACTTTATAATTTGTAATCTTCATCCTCCCACAGGCGCAGGAAGGAAGATGGGAATCCAACCGGCGACCCAAGTACGTGCCCCTGACGGGGACCCTCCGGTGCGGGCCGGCCTTTGGGGGCTGGCTGAGGAGGAGGAGGGGTTCTGATGACGCTTCCCACTGCGACCCCAAGTGCCGCCAGAGACAGCGGCCGGCGGCCCCAGGCGGCGGCGGGCGGGCAGGTCCCGTCCATCTCCCCTCCCGGCGGCGCGGCGGCGCGGCGGCGCGGCGGCGCGGCGGCGCGGCGGCGCGGCGGCGCGGCGGCGCGGCGGCGCGGCGGCGCGGCGGCGCGGCGGCGCGGCGGCGCGGCGGCGCGGCGGCGCGGCGGCGCGGCGGCGCGGCGGCGCGGCGGCGCGGCGGCGCGGCGGCGCGGCGGCGCGGCGGCGCGGCGGCGCGGCGGCGCGGCGGCGCGGCTCCCGCCGCAGACCCGCCGCAGACCCCGCCGGCGGAGCGGCGCCCACGGAGCCGGCCCGGAGCCGCCCCGCCCCCGGGGCCGCCCACACCAGACACGGCCCGCCAGGCTTCACGCCGGGACCGCGCCGGAGCCGCCGTTACCTCCGCGGCCGGGGGCGGCGACTCCGTTCCCTCAGTCAACATGGCGGCGGCGGCGGCTTCAGCGCCGGGCGGCGGCGGCGGCGGGTCACGTGAGCGGCCCAGCTGGGCCGGCCGCGCGCGCTCCCGCCGCCGCCGGCTCTGGGCGGCTCGGAGGCGTGCGGCGGCGGCCCGGCGCGGCGGGATGCGGCGGCGGCCGTGGCGGGGCCGCGGGCCGGGAGGGCGGGCGCGGGGATGAGCGTGGGCGGCCGCCGCCATGTCCAAGGTAACGGCGCCCGGCCCCGGGCCGGCGGCGGGCGGGAAGGAGAAGCGCTCCTTCAGCAAGCGGCTGTTCCGGAGCGGCCGCGCGGGCGGCGCGGCGGCCGGAGCGCCCGGGCCGGCCGCGCCCTCGCCGTCGTCGGCGCGCTCGGTGGGCAGCTTCATGAGCCGCGTCCTCAGGACGCTGTCCACGCTCTCGCACCTGAGCTCCGAGGGCGGCGGCCCGGACCGCGGCGCCCTCCGCGGCTGCTTCCCGCCCGGGCCGCCCGCGCCGCCGCCCTGCCCGCCGCCCGCGCCGCCCGCGCCGCCCGCCTGCGAGCCGGTGCCCGGCGTGGCGGGGCTCCGCAACCACGGCAACACGTGCTTCATGAACGCCACGCTGCAGTGCCTCAGCAACACCGAGCTCTTCGCCGAGTACCTGGCGCTCGGCCAGTACCGCGCCGGCCGGCCCGCGCCCGCGCCCGCGCCCGAGCCCGCCGGCGCCGCGGGGGAGGTCACGGAGCAGCTGGCGCACCTGGTGCGCGCGCTCTGGACGCTGGAGTACACCCCGCAGCACAGCCGCGACTTCAAGGTGGGCCCCGGCCCCTCCAGGCCCAGGCCGGCGGGTCCGGGAGGTGGGTCGGTTGGTGGACCGAGGGAATGGGGGACGCATCCTCCATCGCGTGTGTGTGCAGAGCGTCCCGCCCGCCGGGCTGGGGCGGCGGGTGTGCACCCGGCGAGCCGGGTCCGGCACGGTGGGGTCGCCGGTCGGGCAGCCTCGCCCGTTGCACCCTCGCCGTGCGGGCTGCCTCCGGCCCCGCGCGGGGGGCGGGGGGCTGAGAGCTGCTACCGGGATGGGCGTGCTCCCCGCCCACCCACCCGAGGGCGGCCGCCGCGGGGTGCGCCCCGTGGGTGCACAGACCGCGAGTAGCCGCTCTGAGTGCTTTGATGGAAAAGACTTGATAAGTTAACGGGCCGTGTCGGTGGTTTGAAGACAGTGAACCTGGTGATGCCGCCACTGCCAGCGGGCGGGCGCGGGTAGGCGACCCCTCGGAGGGTATGGGACCGCCTGAGGCCTGGGCGGCGGGAAGGCCTGGAGGCGGAGGAGCTGCGCCCACGCGGGAGGGTGGTGCGGGGCGGCGGCCTGTGAAGGCTTTGCTGGCCAAGACGCAAAATCCAGGCTGCCATGTAGGTGCTTTTAATTGACCAAAATAAAAACAGTGAAGTTGAGTACAATACTTTGCAATCCAGGTCCACCGATGAGAAGAATGAGATTATTTCTGCAGGGAAATAATTGCCTTTCAAAGTTAGGGTGGGAGGCCACCCGGAAAAGCAGTATGCCATTCCCGATATTCTCCCGAACACAGATTGAATGCAAGTTTTCGTTTTTACAGACCATTCTTAGCTCACCGGCCGCACAAGTACAGGCAGTGGGCTAGACAAGGCCCGTGGGCCCCGCAGGGAGCGGGCTGGAGCTGAGGGCTGAGGCAGGTGATGTGGGACCATTTAGGCGGCACTAAGGGGATGAATGGGCTCTTATTCTCAGCAAAAAGGAGAAGATGGTTTGAGATTGTCTGAGGTGGGAAATAGAATTAAATTAACCAGAATGAAACCACACAGTGAGAAACCTATTTTTTTTCCCCCTTTCTGTCCTGATCACGCTCAAGAGAAAGTCTCAGCGTGGCGGTTGCCTTGGCTTTAACACTGCTTGCTCACTCCCTACCTTTTTTTTTTTTTTTAACAAAGCAAGAAAAAGCTTCAAGTTTAGAGGCTTTAGTAGTCAACAGTAGCTGGAATGTAGTAAGGTGATGTCATTGGGCTTTTTTCACATTTGTCTTGTATTCATGGCAAGTGGTACTGGCTTTTCACTGATACTATGACGTTTCTTTTAAAAATCCTTGTTTAAATAAGAGTGAATGACTTGATTAAAATATAAAATGGTAATCTGTCCGAGGAGCCAGAGCTTGGTTGAGGACTTCCCTTCTTGCTGAGAACAGCGCTGCCAGGGTGCGCCCCTCTCCTTTTAATACACTTTACTTACATTATATTTATGTGTATGTTGTTCTGCCCTGTTTCTCAAAGAGAAAAGGTGATTGCTGTTTGATCTTGGAAATTTGAATGGAAATACTTGACTAGTATAGGGACTGGAAAAAATTAGGTCCATGTCAGAAATCTCAAAATAAGTAAGTAGGAGAGGATGACAACCAGCCAGCGACTGTAAAAAAAGTATTTTTCTTTTTTAATTTTCCTTAGAGTTGTCTGTAAGCCACAGCAGTTACAAACTTTTTAAGGTCAGAGCCAAGTGTTTTAAGTTTCATTTTCTCCTTTTTTTCCAAATGTGAAAATAAATTTCAACAGCATTTGGTATGAGAACATTTCCATTGCTTTTTAAGAGATTGTGTTCATTCTTTTATGCACTAAAAAGCTGGACAGAAATAGGTCAGTGATTCTAGAAATGCCAAGACTGATTTGTAGGTATGCTTTCGTAAAGTTGAACAGATTCTTAGAGGACCTATTTTTTTTGAAAAGTGTAATCTCTGAACCTTAGTAGGTTTCACTTTGCACTCCTTCACCTCCCATTTATTGAAGATTTACCCAACCATTTAGGAGCCAGACCATTTCTGGTTTCTACTCTGTTATCCTTAGTTCTCATTGGCTTTTTGTCCTTAGTGTTTGCCACCTTGACTTCTACCTAGGCAAGGCAGGAGGCCTTGAGAGGGGGAAAGTTCTCCCAGAAGCCCCTCAGCAGGCTTCTGCTGACATCTCACTGACTAACCATGTCCCTTTGCTCCTGGCTGCCATGGAGGTGTGGGTGGACATTTGGGCTTTCCTGCTTTAATAGAGGAGATGAGTGAGGCTGCCGCCCAAACGCACCTTCACCCGGCGGAGACACCGCCTGCCGGTGAAGAACTGAGTCTCCAGGAACCTGGCCAGTTTCCACACTTTGATGTGCTGCATTTCTAACCAAGCTGGTGTCTGGGTTACACCGTGGAGATGGAGGGAGTACAGAACGTTTGGGAGAAGGAGGATGTGAACGCATTGTAGGCTCCCCTGGTTGAGACATTACCCTCTGGAAGTTAAAAATCCAGAGCCAACTTTTAAGTAGGAGAGTGATAGGATCAGGTTTCTTCTTTTCCTTTTATTTCTCCCAGTTTGGTAAGCCTGGTGGATTACTTTCTATTTTTCCAGAATGTTTTATTACAGCCACATTTAATGGCTGTGATTTGAGCATTAAGAAAGTTGAACACCAAAGGAGGTGGATGTGAGGCCTACTCGTCACCATGCCCTGCTGGTCCACATTCCGTATTAATTGGAGCTTAGAAGCTGACCAGATAAATGGATTTTTGTGTTGGGAGAGCTAAATGGTGGTTAAGGCTGGATTTTCATTTCCCATGGTTGACTGTCCAACCTGGGTGTGCTTTAAGATAATTAAAGCTGCCACCTAGATCTTTTTTATTTTTTATTTTTTTTAATGCAGATACTGTGCTCTTACTCAGATATTAAGCTATGGTGGTTCTCAACCAGTGTGTTTTTGCCTACTTCCCCAAATCATGGGTCATATCTGGAGATATATTTTAGTTGTCACAACTTTAATAGGAGGCGGGCATAAATGCTTCAGGTCCTTAGAGATGCTCTCTAGCTTCCAGTTCTCAGTGCCCCTTTGCAGGAAGAGAAAGATAGATGATCAAGTAGGAAAGATAAGTTTTTAGCAGCCGTACTCACACCATGCTCCCAGAGAACAGCGGGAGCGTAGTGATCTGATAACAAAGCTGGGGGAACTCCATCCAGAGTTGCAGCAAAACAAAAAGTAATGGAATTTTCTCTCCCATGGTGTTTTCCTTGAACTTTGGTGCCTGGTGTTGCTTATTTATTAGTGAGAGTTCTGGGTTACAGAGAGTCAACATATAGAATTGAGGAGTGGCAGACAAGCTCGCATGACTGACACTGGCTCGGTGCCACAACTTGCTTTTTCATGGACTCATGCTACAGGCCTTTGAGAGATGTTTCCTGGTTTGTACGAAGCTGTTTAGTACATTGCAATTTCATAGTGGTTTCTAAGAAGTACTCTGTATTCAGGTATCCCTTGAATTCCTTTGAAAATAGAAAAAAAGAAAAGAAATTGTATAGGTCCCATTTAAATTTGTGATAGTATAAATAGAAAGTACGGCTCTTTCTGGTCAGTTCCCTTGTCTGTGAAATGCTGTCGCTTTAGTTAGTGAAGCTCCCAGTCTCTGAAGGAGCAAGGAGGTGATAAAATCATCACGGTTTTGCCTTGGAAGGAGACGTGGTGGGTGTGAGCAGTCCCCCGCCTTTCTGGATGATGGGACCGAGGTTCACCTGCTGGCTGGAGGCCGAGGGAGCAGAACCAGAATTTTTACTTCCACTTTGTCACCCTGCATTGCTGAGACTCACGCCGAGTCCTGTGTCTGGTTGCCTTATTCGTACAACCATTGAGAGGACAGGTTTCAACATAAAATGTCAGCTGTCAGGTGGACATGCTGAAACGTGTAGCATTTTCCTCTCTGAGGTTGTGGTGCTGAATGGCAACGAACACAGATGTCAGCCACAGCTGCTCCACACGTGTGCCGGTGCTGCTTGTACCCTGGCACTGCAGGTTTTCTTAAAGACGGTTCTTTCTGACTGGTTAAATGTGCATACGAACATGCATACATTTGTATAGGCTCATTCTCCACAGGTGGCTATGCATTTATACTCTCAATCTCAGGACTGACTTTCCCCTGTACCCTCACCTGGTACATTTGGAGGAGAGGAGGACAGAGGCTGGGAGAGATGGGCAGGTGGGCGAGGCCGGTCCCACAGGGCTTCTCGGTGCACATCGGGGGGGTTTAGGTTCTTTTCTGAAGGCAGTGGGGAATGGCTGCAGGACTTGGACAGTTCTGTTCTTCCCTCATTAAAACATGGTCATTCAAATGCTGAACAGTGGAAAGAACAGAATCAGGGAGACCAGGTAGGGGCTTCTGTGATAGATGAAGTAAAAGTGGGGGTGACGGAGATGGAGAAGTGGATGGATTTGAGATTATCTGCAGAGGTAGACTCCACAGGACTTGCTGGGGTGAGGGGTACACTGAGACAGAGGGATGCATCCAGAATAACTCCCAGTGGTTTGTCTTAAGCAACTGAGTGTTACCAGTACTTACTTGAGCAGCAATTTTAGGGGTCAGGAGTTCATTTTCAGATGTGTTGAAAATAGGATATTCATGAGATGTCTAGTAGGCAGTCTGGAGTTCAGAAGATTGAAACTAGCTAAAGAAAAGAAGGGAGCCATCAACTTTTTGGTGGTGCTTAAAGCCATGGAATATGCGTTGAATGGGGTTTGATGATAAATAAGTCTTAGATAGTTAAGAAGAGGGGTGTCGTCTCAGGATGGTGGGGAAACATTCTGAGCAGAGGGATAGCATTGGCACATGGTCATGGAAGCTACTGTGGAGGCTGTGGAGGCTTGATTTGGACTTGTGCCAACCTTGGCACCGTTGACATACCTGACATTATTGGCTGGGCTATTTTTTTTGTTGCGGGGGGCTGTCCTGGCATTGTAGGATGTTTGTTAGAGTCCCTGTCCTCTCCACATAT